TATATGTTGAACTACAAGTCATGGGCTCTCCAAAAATCATAATTTTAATTAAATCTAAGCATACTTCAACTATGAAATTAAATCATCATTTAATTAAAATAAAAACTATTTCCAGATCTAAACTTTAAACATGCATATAAGTTATATAAACTTCAAAAATATGTAAAACATTAAGATTATAAACATGAAACACCCCCTACCTCACTTGAGATGAAAATCTCAAATCCCACCAAAATCAAACTTCACAAAATGTGATGAAACTTCGGAGTTTTGATGGGGACAACAAGGAGAGCAAAAATCCTTAAGTGAGAAGAGTTTGAACTCTCAGCCAAAGTGCTACAAATCGAAAACCAATCGGATAGAAATGACTGCATCGTCGAGGAAATCAAAAAAGTATAAACCGCGAAGATGAAATTTAAAGAGGAAATAGATGAAAAGAGGAGAGAGAAGAGGGCAGCCTCCAAGTTCTAGAAATGGTGGCTGCTGTTGCTACTTTAGGAAATAAAAAGTTAGAGATGCTGTTTTCTCCCATCCACTAACCCTAAATAGGTCAAAAAAGTGTCCCGAACAGTCCGAACGGGCCCCGTCCTGGTCCAAAAAGTGAAATTAGTGAAAACATGCTCAAATGCCGATGATCCGTGAACGAAAAAAGTTTCAAAATAGAATTCTAAGGTCAACGGAAGAAACGGGGTCAAAAATCGAGTCCCGAACGAAGAGATATACCCTGGACAAGATTGACGACTAATAGGTTCGAAAATTCAAAATAAATGAAATAAAAATTCAAAAAATATTCTGGAAGTGCCAGATTTCATAAAAAGTGAAAATAAACCCCTCATGAAAGTTTGAACCCAAAACGAGAAATTTTTTCTAAAACTTTTCATAATTATACAAATGCCCCCGACTGAATAACTTAAAAAGTGAATTTCTCAGAAAGCCCAAAATGAGGTGTCATTCAAAAGATACATTTAAAATAACCTTAAATACAAAATTTTATCGAAAGATAATTACGAAAAATACCCCAAATAAAGAAAATAATTTTCAAAATTTTTTTGCATTTATACCCCTACGGGCAAAAGTAAACATATTGCATGCTTTTCTATCAAAGTAAAAATGTGGATCATATGGAAATCAAGTAAAATTAATGCATGCAAGGCCAGAATCAAATCTAAGTACGACCCACTAGGTTACACAAAATGAAAAGATTGTGAAAAATGACGGAAAAATAAAACTCAGAAAAAGAAATCAACGAAAAAAAATTTATTCGTAAATTTGATAGGATGGAAAGAAAGGAAAATGACCGAGTCATTACAATCAACATATAACATGAATAACTTGTGAAAATGAAATATTTATGAGAATGAGATTAGAATTTACGCACAAATAATTCGATTTTTATTTATAAGTAGATTTGCATCATAACAATGATGTGAGGGTTTCATTGCATGATTGTTGATTATAAACTAGTGTGAACTATGCGGTATATATATATATATATATATATATATATATATATTGTTGAATATTATTTATATTTGCATTATTTAAGAAGAAAAGGAACATTTGAGAAATTAGAGATAATTAAAAGTAAAAATCCATCAAAAGGGAATAGAAATGCAAAGTGGAAATAGAAAGTCCTAGAACAAGTTATGATACGTGGCGCTTAAAATTTTGGCCTATTTTAAGCTAATACTTAATATTTTAAATGGTAACTAAATGTTATCAAACACTTGTGCCCTGAATATCGATATCAAACAAGCCAAGTGAGTGAAATTCTCTTTCTATTTTTCTCAGTGTATTGTCCAAGAAAGAGCATTATACAAGTCCCAAAGGGCTTGGAGAGTGTAGATGAGGCTAAAATCGACCTTATTAATCATCATAATCATAATTGTCTTTTTACCAAAAGATTAGGGTCGGTCGCATGAATTCTCTTTTTCGTTTATTTTATTATTATCTCCTTCTTTTTTATGTCTTTTTAAATTATTATATCTTTTTATTTTTTATTTTGAATGGTAAAGCATACACATGACCTTTTTTGTTCACATCAATCCCAGAATGATGAGGTTATACCATTGAACTAAAGACACTTTAATTATAGATATCTCATTTCATATTAGTTTTGGTTGACTTTATTGTCTCTCTTTGTAAAACTAACTAATTAATATTTCCTATATTACAATGGCATTCTCCTTTTTTTTTTTTCACTAATAAACATATTCCTAATCTTTCTCACATACCTTTAATTTGTAAATCTATCATTTTCTACTCGCTCCCATAATGGATATCTGATATAATTACACTTTGTTTTATTTTTACATCCATGTACCAAATGGGAAAAAAAATTAAAATAATAATCAGAGAGATCACATATGCAATGGCGCCACATTTTCTATACTTGTTTGATCTATAACAATAGTATTTCTTTTGGTCCCTTTGACCCACTAGCTACACCGGCAAGGATCCTCTCCAGTGCTGGAGAGGTTCTGCACAAGTAATAGTACTCATTGGATAAATGAGACTCATTATTGATGATACAATCTCAACTGGTAATGACAGGACTTCTCCAGTGTTAGAGAGGGTCCTTGTCCTTGTCCATAGCTACGGACAAGGACCCTCTCCATCAACGGTGCAAGTAACAGCCACTGAATAAATGGAACTCATTATTAAAGATGCAATCTTAAGTGCTGTTACTGGACACGCACGCTTATAAATGCTTCCTTGTTTTTTTTTTTTCCGGTGAATTAAATGCTTCCTTTGTATACATAGATGGGTTGTATACGACAATTGCAGTGTTCTGGTACATTCACAGCAGAAAGTATATATCTTCAAGCTATTTAGATGTGGTACCTTATTCAATAAACAATTATAAAAAAAATTCAATTTACTTTAATACACTAAAACATAGATTTTTTTTCCTTCAAAAATACAAGACATAATTGTACATTGGACGAGAATATATATATTTCAATTGACAACAAAGACAAACAATAGGCAGAACGTAAACAATGCAAACACGGCTGGCCTAATTTTTTATTTTATCAATTGGGAATTTCATGCGACAGAAATATATGGAGATTTGATTATCGCATTTTTAAAAAATAGGTAAACTGCAGTAAAAAAAAAAAAAAAAAAAATTTGTGCAAAAAAAACTTGGTACTTAACTTCTTAGTATATGCATATAAATCACTAATATTTGAAAATATATGCAAATTAGGACCATTTTTTTTTATTAAAAAAAAAACTCCAAAAACAAACCCTTAATTATCTCTCCTTTCTCTCTCTCTCTCACATACTGAAATAAGTGTTTTTTTTTTATTTTTTTTATTTGCCTTAATGGTATTTTAGATATTCTTCAAATTGACAAAATATTATTTTCAAAAAATGTAAGAATTTTTTTTGAACACGATATAGACATTTGCACATTTTGTATATAACACGATATTTTTTGCATTTTACTCTGAAAAATATCAATCTCTATCATGTTTAATAAGGGAAAAATTATATTTTAGTGACCAAATCTGAATAAAATTATCTTAAAGTAACAACAAAATTTTATTCTCTATTATTTTCCCCTCCCACAACCCGTTGTTATATTAAAAAGGTGACATTTCCTACATCTATTTTATTCTAACAACTCATCAATAACTTTTCCATAGTTTTTTGAAAATTGTGATTAGATACCAAGAGTCTCGTAGTTCAATGGTACTTTTTCACCTTTCAAAGTAAAAGATAGAAAGTTTAAGTCTCCGTAAAGACAAAAATGGATATATGAGTATATTTTTTGTCCATAATAAAAAGAAAAAAAATTGTGATTAGATGAATATAAATGGCTTGAAGATGTAGAATAAAATTTTCTTTTCATGCATTAAGATTTTGAAGAGACTAATGAGGACTTCTAGAATGGGAGCTCATTTGTTATCAAAATTTGAGAGAGCGGACGATAGTTGTGGTATGGTGCACAAAATGGGCCTTTACATTTCTTTGTGTAATTACCTACTTATCGGATCCAATCAACATTTCTTTTTGTAATTATATTTTGTTTATTTTTCTTTCTTATTTTTCAAGGTAATATCTCTACATTTTTGTTCGTTGAATCAACAATTATCCACAAACTCTCCCTTTATCTCTTCCAAAGTTTCAATTTTGACCTTTAGGGTTGATAAGCTAGCTTGTAATAATCTATCACTTAAAAAAAAAAAAAAAAAAAAAAAAAAGGAAAGAAATTGTCAATCTACTTAAATTGTCTCATTTAAAGGCTTATTCAAGATTGACTCAAGAGAAAAAAATAAAGTAAAATAAATAAATAAATTTGATCTGTCATAAAATATTTATAAAAAAAAAATATTAAAATTCAACAAATATAACTTTCTCATCAATTTTTGATAAGTTATTATTTGCACTCCAACATACTCGACTTTACCTAAACTTTTACCAATCATTGGAAAAAAAAATTACAAACGAAGCTGTAATGTAAAATGTGCTAGAGGCTGCCTAAGCCCAATACAAGGGAAGACACCGAAACAAATAATCAGCCCAACAGAGTGATTGGACAAATTCAAACTAAAGCCCAAGTAGTCCAACAAGCCATTGCCAACGGACACTCTGTACATCTTCTGCAAATACTGAGTAAACACTTCTCAACGAGACATTTTTACAAACATCATAACTACGCATCTCTAAAATGTGAACATCAAAATAAACCACACAGTCTCGCGCAAAAATCAAGCAGCGAGAGAAGGTCTTCAATTTTCAAGCCTTTATTTCTTTCATTTCCGGTTGGTTTTCTCAACAACCAAACAGGGCATTAATCTCTCGAATAGGAACGCTGACCTTGTGGGGATCAAGATTTTGTGAGAGCTGAGGTTATTGATGACCATAAATTTCTAATCATACAGAATAGGAACTTCCTCCAACACGCAGTCATACATATATATACACATATCTGTGTATAATATACACACACCCACACGTTTAATCTAGAAGAAGTCTCTACAGTTTTCTCCATGGCGAAGAGCAGGGCTTGCAATTTGGAACCAAGAATTGTGCGTTTTAACCTAAACCAACCGGCTATGGTTCTTACGAATTCAGATGAAGAACCCAAAGAAGAAGAAGATACACAGCAAAAACAGGCTGAGTCATGTACAATTTCAGAAGATATACAGCAAAAAGAAGCTCATCGGACATGTACAATTTCAGATGATGAAGATGCAGACTTCCAAATGGCTCTTCTTTGCTCAACAATCCTCAATTCAAGATCAAGAGCAAGTATTCAAGGCCCTGAAATTCAAGATGAGAAGAAGAAAGGTGTAATGAGGCCTTGTTCAATCACTTATGGAGATTTCGGAACTTCTTCGTGGAAGACTGAGGAGAGAGGTGAATGTTCTCACACACTTTGTGATATTTGCAAGGATGTGAAGCCGACTGGAGGGATAATGATCCGAAGCACCAGGTGTAGTCACGCCTATTGCAGAGACTGTTTAGGGTTTTATATTGGTGAGAAGATTCAAGAAAGCATTGGAGGTGTCAAGTGCCCGGTGAAAAAGTGTAAAAATCTCTATCAGGCCGGGCATTGTCGCTCCTTCATCCCGGAAGAAGTGTTCGATCGATGGAAGAGTGCTGCTGTGGAGGCCGCAGTTCTCGGGTCACCGGAGTACATTCTGTGCCCTTTCGACGACTGTTGGGTGGTGTTTGGGGATGACGGGAAGGGGTTCGTGATCAGGGCGTGCCCCAAGTGCTGGAGGCTGTTTTGTGTGTGGTGCAATGTCCCATGGCATGCATGGGTGCCTTGTTGGTTTGTCAGGCTTAGGATGATGACATGTCACAACAACCCAAAACCCTGGAGGGTGAAGGAATGAAGAAAATAATTCTATAAGGTATAAAACTACAATTCTTGGAGTCTTTGTGTGAATGTGAATGATTGAGCAGTTTTGAGGAAATGGGTGAATCTATGATTCTTCTACACATATACTTGGCATGTCAAATGTTGACTTCTGAATCTTTATACTGCTGAAATTGCAACTTTTATTGAATATAATGTTACAAATAGTATTCAAAATTGTTTGATAATTATTCCTAGTCATTGTATATTGCATGCCAATAATATGTTACACACACACACACATTATGAATTAATAAGTTTGCTTTTTGTAGATACCGTTTGGGCAAATCTTGTATATTTCCTAGCAGAATTGAAGCCATTTTTTATTTTATGTTAGGTAAGCTTTGGACACAGAATTACCCTGAGGTTGATCTTGGCCCTAACTCAAGACTTAAGAATTAAGAAGATCAATGTTGTAGCAGCACTTTGACAATTAAGTTTTTTGACCAAATTTGGTAGAGGGGAATGTTTTTGACATCTGAAGTTGGAAGTCCAGCTCATTTAATTGCAACCGTGCTTGCAAGTAATTTTGTGTTTTATTGATTCAAATATAAAACACACATATGTATATATATATATATACCATCTTTTTAGGAGGGAGATTTTTAGTAGATGGTCTGAAGTATTTTTCAATCACTTCTATCCTTATTGGGTCTAAAAATCCTACTAAAATTGTTTGCTTATGTTGGGTTTGATTGGGCCTCATTGTTTAGGGCTTGGTTGAATTCCTTGTTTGGGTTGGTTATATCCATGTTTCCATGTTTTGTTTATATTGGCCTTTGGCCCAGTCCTTTTGGGACTCCACTCTATAATTTACATACATTAATATATACTTACTTAACCTTCCCAAAAGAATTACTCCCAACAATCTCTCTCTCTGTCCATCTACTTTTTCTTTTCATTTTTTACCATTTTTTTGTTTGTTTGGGAGGTGGTAGACAGATAGTGGTGTTGTCTTATAGTTGGTTTTATGTAATATCAGTGCTTTCTTATGGTTTAGCTATCATACATGGATGTTTTTATATATTGAAATTCAAAACACCCTTTGCTTTTAGAAAGACAACAGCTGGCCCTTTATGGATACATGGGTCACCCTTGCTTATATATAATAAGACTTAACATAAGATTTACATTTCCTCATTTGGTTTAATTTTCAAACCATTAACCTCCCCTGTCAATTCAATTGACCTTTGATCACATTTTTTTGTCATTCTACTGCACTTTTAAGTTGGACCCCATCAAGAATATATTTCAGATTTTCAATCAATTCCTGGTCATGAACATGCTCCTAATTTCCCATCAAGTGTTTGTTTATGTATAGACTCATTAGTTTTCTCCATTTCAGAGTGAAATAATCCCTAATCATTTTATGGTCAATGTGGAATCGCATTTGTGAGCTAAAGGTGCAATACACATCCATTGATCAGTCATCCTATTATGAGATTCATGAAATTACTCTTTAGATTCTGTGTGTGTGTGTGTGTTATATAGGATCTAATGCAATTATATTTAGAGCCTTCGACACTACAGAAATAGAGGGATAATGTTTGAATCTAGTTACTACATGATCATAAAAATCAGTTCCATTTTTTTTTTAATACTTTGGTTAGGAGTTCCAAAAAACACTTAAATGAGTACTAAAATACTCTTTCCTCTTTTCTGTATTGACTAAGAAAGAGCATCATACAATTAGCCCCAACTAAGGAAGGGCGCTGAGAGGGTATATGGGCTGCAGAAGTAACTTTGACATTCATCTTCATCCTTGCTTTTTTGCCAAAAAAATGGGTTAACTACATAAAAAAAATTCCTGTTGTATTCTATTATATGTCAAGTCTCCTTCAATATTTAATTTTTTGAAGTTAATTTTAAGTACTTCGTTTCATATTGGGTTGTTCCATCTCATTGTCTCTTAACTTCTATGCAAATTAATTTATCTCCCCTTTCTTACAAGTGCATCAACTGGTCTATTTGCGATATTTCTCATCTCTCCCTCACTCTTCGATTTGTAAATCTTTCTTTTCTAATCACTCCTAACTATCATCCATCTCAATATCTTCATTTCATGAGTTACATGAATTTGTTATTCTTTTTACTTTTTTAACACTCTGTTTCGTATAAAATAGTTGTTCTAATGACTGGCCTATAAAAATTTTCTTTCAACTTTGACACGTTGTCATACATGGTAACCCAATCTTTTACCACTGTATGCATTAGGCATGTCTATTTTCTCCACAAGTAGAAGAACATTATTTGAATTCTCTAGAAGAAAAGAAACTTTAATGTTATGAACATTTCATATTGTCCAATTTGGTGTTTGTGGTGAGGTGGGGGAAAGATGAGTCTACCTTCTTCAATCCCATCAACCTCTGAAAATAAATTTCCTCTCAACAATTCTTGTGCTCCTTTTTTTCTTTCCCTCTTCTTTTTTGAATTTTAATACGACATTTTTGAAATCTTTTGCTTTCGGCAAAAAAGCTTTGTTCTAATTGAGCAAGTTAATACTGTTCATAGATTGATATTAGTATTGCATGTCTTGCTCATAGAATTAGCTACCTAATTTCCACTTTCCACTAGTTTAAGAGCGCCATTATGTAAATAGTGCATTAACATTCCTAATCAATTCATTAATCTTCTATGTATATGCAAAACATATGGCCCATGAAAGAGGAATTCATGCAGTGCCATCCAATATTTTTTTTGTCAGGTCACTTTGCCATCACTTTCAAAAAATGTTGGGTTTAGCAAAAGTTAAGAAAGTGTAGACCATAATAATTGAGAGAAGAATAGAAGTGGATCAGCATCAAGATATTAGTTGGAAGAACCTTCTCCATAAACCCTAACTTTTCTTTATGATATGGGAGTAATTTGAAGTTTAAACAGTGGTCTCCTTTCAAAAACTCGAGATAAGAACATGTGAGAAAAAGGGAAAGGTTTTCTTCAAATATGAAAGGTTTAACTTTGATCTAAAACCAAAACCTAAGGGGCCCCCATACATGTCTTTAATTGTCATAATGAGACTCAATAATTGCATATGTGCACTGCACCAGCTAGCCCCACCTTCCTTCTGTATCCCATTTTTAACTTTATTTTACTGATTCATGGGGACCTCATGTCACATATTACATGACACACCTTTGGTCTTTTGAGGCCTCATCTTTTGGCTTCTTCCTCGTTTTTACCTTTTCACTACAAATCTACAAGGAAAAGGGTACTCTTTTTTTTTTTACTGTGATTTTCCTAGTAGGAATTGAAAGGACAGGAAGTGGGAGGTTTGGACTCCTATAGGAATTCAAACTTAAGGTGCTGGTATTTGTTAAGAGGGAAAAATGGGAAGGAACCTCTCCTCCCCTCGAATGGGAGGTGTGGAGTTCGAGCTCGACATTTGTGAGTGTGTGCACGAGTATTTACGGAGAAGGATTGATGGAGTTTGTTTTCATTTCTTCTTCAATTTTTCTTCTATTTTAGGATAGTTATGTGATACCACAACATTCAACTGTTGACAATCTATAGTCACATGATATAATTACTTGGTTTTAATTTTACATCCCTCTATCAAAATGGAAAAAAATAAATCAATTGGAGAGATCACATATGCAATGGGCATGAGTGTTGCTGAGGAGTTTGTCCTCTCCTGCTATGTCCCATTTTTTACTCTACTTCATTGGCTCATGGGACCTCATTTCACTTAACAGAGCTGTGTTATGTGGCCTCATCTTTTGGCCTCTTCCTTGGTTTTACCTTTCCACTCCAAGGAAAAAGGATACTTGTGACTTCTACAGTGACTTTCGAAACTAGGAAATAGTGTGCTTTGTTAAGGGTGAAAGGTGGGAAGAAATGAAGAGTGAGCAGGATGAAGAGAAAGAGTATATAGAAGTTACATGGTTTGGTAAAAAATTAGTAATGAGAGGAAAGGGAAATGGAAAAGAAGAGGAAGGAAAGGCATCTGCCTCTAGGTCATGAAATTAGGACAAGGAAAGAAAGGAGGATTTCGCTCTGTTTTTTTACAATATTGTATTTTTTATATGTTTTGGATGGTGAATTATAGAGTGTTTTAAAATGATAATAATAATAATAATAATAATAAAAAAGAATTGATATTACCCATTGAATGGTGTGAATTTCAAGTTCACTCCAACCAAGGCTTTTCAATATAATTCCTTTGTTTTAGTTTTCATCCCTATGCCAAAATGGACACAAATTTTAGGGGAAGATCACAGAGGCAATGGTTATGAGCTCTGTTGAGGAGTTTGTAGTCTCAATACAGGACCCCACAATTTGTAATAGTCGTTTGAGATCCACATGATGTGAGACTAAAAGGCTATGATCGTGGACCTGTTGCTTCTATAGCATGGCCCACCATAATTTTGCTTCCAAAATGACAATTATGTGGACAACTGTCCAACCCATGCGCAGGATCACAGCTGATTGGGTCCCACCTCTGACCTCTCCAACACTTGAAATCACAATCGGTCCCTTTGACTCAATGGGCTACACCCCTCTTGATCTTTATTATATACTGGCCTCCTTTAATTTCTTGGTACACACTTTGATGCTTCTTTTATTTATATATATACAGTGAAAATGCATTGATGGGGTTGGTGTGTATTCTAGATATTTTTCACTTGTAATTTTTAGCCAACCAATTGTATACAGACCATTAAAACAAATGTTATGGTACATTAAAGGCACATTGACACAGAAAATGAAGGTTTGACCATCACATGGTCAATTTCAAAATATCAATCTCTATCACATTTAATAAGGTAGAATCGCTCTGTTTCGGAGCACAATATTGTGGAGGACGGGGATGGATTTCGACCCTCACTGTTAGTTTTCTTTTTCTTTTTTAATTATTTTTAAATAAAATATCATTCAAAGATTGTGAAGATGTTAACTTTGCTAATATTTAGTGACAATGTAATTATAAGTTCTTGCACACATGGTGGGTACTGGGTAGAGTTATATAAGCCATGTTGT